AACTCATATCATTGTGGGAAAATTCGACTACCAGTCCTTCATCACCTTACACGAAATTGGGTGAATACATATCATATTACTGATTTACTGGCAGTCTCGAATCTCTACTCTAATACGAAAATACGATACTTTTGCTCTAATTGGGTATGTTTCTATGCTATCCATAAAATCTTTAAAAAGTGCTCCAGTCAGTATAGGTCGCATAAGGTGATGAAAGCTTGATAGGTGTATTTTATGATTCGAATATGATTCCTTAATCATCTTAACCGATATGGGTTGACCGGAGTTTGTAGTCAATATTAACTGATAGCCTTGAAACCTATCCAGCATGAATACTTCAAACTGGACGGCGATAATTATATTTCATAGTTTCTGTAGCATGTTGGGCCAACTGTCAGGTCGCCAGTGCTCACCTGACCTATCGGCTAGCGAGAAGGGTTCGGCTTAACAATTGCCTGCATTCGCTCATGACCCGGCTGGACCTACATTTGGCCAGACAAGCTTAAAACGACACAGAAGCCAGCTCTAATCCGACTTCGACATTACGCAGGAGCATGATCAACGTCTTGATCCGGTCTGGCCCAGCTCCTTGGGTTCGTAGTGTGAAGAGAGTAATATTGAATGTTCTTGCTCATGTGCACAGGCGGCCAAGGCAATGACACGGCACGTGAAAGAGTTATCCGCAGTGGCCACAGTTGATGTTGTCAGATCTCAACTCTCCCACAATCGACCAATCCGCGGCAACACGTAAAGACGCCTTGTGAGTTTGAGTAACCAAGGCACAGGACATGCGAACGCATGTGTCTGTGTTGCCGATTGGTCTGTGCCTCGTCTTAGCAAAGTTTAAAAGCCGAACTTTTCGTTAACACGACGTCAACAGTGGCGCCTTTTTCACTTTTTTTTTAGTTCAGCAAGGCTCTCTCCAATTGTAAGGGCTTTGTGCTGGCCTGCCTCTTGTGTGTATCAGAAGAGCATATAAATAAATAAACAAATATAAACATATACATACATATTAACACATTCACCTCCAGGAGGATTCTTTCGACCACCAGTCGTCGAGCCATTAGACGTAGCGCTAACCGATGGCCGCCGAAAAGTCGCGTTCTCTTGCTGGCGCAGAGAATGAGCTAGCCACAAGTGCGAATCCCACAATCGCGATTCATCATGTCAAGTTGTCTCCTTTGGTGACGGTAATGGGCCTGCCGAACAAGCCTCAAAATCGTAAGAAGCCGGGCTCTTCCAACTCTCTGTGTGACTCTTGGGGATCACCATATTCGTCCAGCTCTTCGTTGAGTTACATCCCGACCGGCGTTGACCCGTTCCAGCCGGCCATGGACCGGTTCTGTCCTGATCGTCTCTGTCTGCACCACCACTGCAGCCCGGGCTCGGAGTTCGGGGCCACCGGTCTGCTCGACTGGCCGCCGACTCGGGGTCAGGGCTTGGCTCATCTGCACAAAACACACTCCAGTATGGCCAATCTGCTCCACCTTCTGCATCCACACTCCGGAGGCCCTGGCAACGGCCTCAGAACTCCGTCTTTGTCGCCACAAGGCTCTCAGGGCAGTGTTGAGGGCGGTCAAGTCGTGACGAGACCTGGAGTCAATTTGGCCCGAGGAAACCCGAAAACTCGTCAGACAACCCACAACTTCGCCAGTCTGCATCATCAGGAGACTGTGATGGCGCCTCGTTGCGACGGTGCCCACGTTGAGCCGGCCAGTGCTGTACGTGGTCCTCCCGGCTTGGGCGGTCTGGCCGTCTGTCGAAGCATCGTTGGGCATGAATTTGTCTCGGCAACCAGAACTCGTTACTATGGCCGTTGTGAAGCGTGTCGTCGTGGGGTGCATCGGCAGCAGTACCTCTACTGTCGCCACTGTCCGGCTGTGTGTCATGCTCGTGACGACTGTCTCAATGGATTGACCAGAAAGTGTCCCTCTCTCGAGCTTAGCGTCGAGGGCTGGGGCGAAGGTGAGCCACCAGTGCCGTGTATGTTTGTGCCTATTTTCACCCCATGCCCTCTCTTTCATTATCTTCCCAATTTGCCCGATGTCTTCATCATGGACAAGCTTCCAGTATCGGCAACAGAGCCAAACTCAGCTCGTCAGCTGACAATTAGACATTGAGTGATACTACTTTTTCTGAGGCGCCAATGTCCAGTTTTCTGTGGCCGAAATTGTGTATGCTTGGAGAATCTCAATAGGACTTGAATATGTGAATGCGCCAAATTCAGTAAGAAAGAGTAGTTAAAGTTCACCTAATTGAATAAGTAGCAGGTTTCATATCCCTTTTCAAGCGGATTCGGTTGTCTCGAAACCTACTCCATTCTAATGGAAAAGATAAGTTGCCTAGAGATGAAGAAAAGCTAGGCTTTCAAAATCGGATCGGCTTAGGATTTTGGTGTATAGAGGTTGTTTGACCTTGTTTTCACAACTTGGTCATGTTGGTAGGAAGACTTGGAGGAACAGACCTTGTCCGGAGTCCATTGTATGCATGATTATTTCCAAAGTCGGACCGTGGACGTGGTACATTCCCAGACGGTTCGTCAGTGAGTTTTACCATTCGTAGCACTATCTTACAACTCGTCAAAGAGACAAGTGAAGCCGATCCAGTCAGTGAGTTTTACCATTCGTAGCACCATATTACAACTCGTCAAAGAGACAAGTGAAGCCGATCCTTTTTGTGTGGGGAGATCTGCTGGCCCATTCATAGCAGATGTATTCTCAAAGTTTGTGGGTCCAACAGGCTGGGTTTACCAAACACATAGCTCACACAGGTCACCAGCCAGACTGGTAGAGATCCCAAAAATTTGTAGGAAGAGGAGGAGGCTTCACAAGTAGTAGGAAAGTAAACCGATAGTAAACCGAATCTAGTTGGCACACTCACATCACACGACTCACGAGCATTATATGCACACAACACAAATACACTTATATGCGTTCACATCTAAGGATCGACTATACAAGTTATTTACGTTTCTAAATGTGAAGAAAAGCTGAGTTTCGAAGACTATCTTAGTGAGTTGACATGACTTGAATTCTGTTTTCGAGAGCAAGGCTGGTTGAAAAGAGTCCGTGAATTGATTGCCCCAGAAACCAAGGCAGCTAAGATAATTGGATTGTGCGTACAAGTCTTTGGCCTACTACCCTTTAACCAAGATAAACTTTAGCTGAGCTTTAGTCTGTAACAGGGAGACCTTCGGTAATTGTGAAAATGCATGATGAAAAGGTTCGTGGGTTGATCTTACCGAAAAACTATGGCTGATTTTCATTGTTATGTGATTTCGGTTGAAATCGGGTTGAAACTGTCAATTGATGGGCATCAGAGCTGGAATTCATTCTCGCAAAAGTTCCAAGTTAACGCTGAGTTAGGAAGACTGTTCAGGCATATCCATGCTGTATACACACTTTACTAAAAGCGAAAATATGTAGATATAGGTGGATAGGTTAGATTTACTTGAGTTTGCATGTGTGTGTTAGCACATGTACGCAATAGCAGTCCTAATTAAGAGTGATCCCAAAAGCCTAACGTCGAGCCCGGGTTGCATGGGCTTGATGACCAAAGGGAAAACATAATCAAGATTTCTTAAGCCCGGCCACCATCTGCCGGTGACATCAAACAACGAATTTCTCCCTCATTCATAAAAAAACAAAGTCTCCACAACAACAGAGAACGACTTAGTCTTTACTGATTGAAGCGCAAGGGTAGCTTGACTACCATCACCTTATGAGATGTATTCACCCAATTTCGTAGTAGAATTTTCCCACAATGATATGAGTAGAGCTGACGTTTCCATTGAATTTCACAATGCCTTGCCTTCTCAAAAATTTCCTCATTCCGACTTGAGTGGACTGCAGTTTCGACCTAGCATCGGTCCTAGCAACACCCTCAGCGGCAGTCGAACCGTGACAGTGCAGGATGGGAGATTTACACGTCAACCACTCGGCCACATTGCTACGAGTGCCCATGGGTCACATGGCAGATGGGAATTTCCAGCAAGGCCAAGCCTTTTGTCATATCATATCCTTTGGTGGGATTGTCGATGGAGCAAACGTATATTTGCTATAACAATCGACTGCGTTACTTATTTTTTGTATTTAAGTAGAGTTTCGAGACTACCAATAAATCACAAATATGTAATGTATTAACCCTATTTCGATTAAGCTGATAAAGGACTGGTATTTAATCTTTTCCTCAATGATATGAAAAGAGCTGACGTTTCCATTGAATTTCACATTGCCTTGCTTTCTTAAAAGTTTCCTCATTCCGACTGGAGTGGACTGCAGTTTCGACCTCGCATCGGTCTTATCAACACCCCTAGCG